GCCTCTTCCCCGCTGGGTGGCGGGGGGCTCGCCGGGAAACGCTGCTGCTGCAGAACCGGCGGTCCTGCCGGCGCGGAAGGGGCCTGCAGAGACGAGAGCAAAGGGAGGCCGTGTCTTTTGCGTTGCTTTGTGATTTGTAGGGAAACCATCAGTAATTCCTTCGTGTGCTTTTCTTTCTCTTAGATGTTTACTTAATCTGACATAAGCACGTGGGACCTTTGTTTGTTGTTTCTGGGAGCCTTAATAAATTTAAGGCGTAACCTCTGGTTTCTTTCAAAGACCTCTTTCTGTCTGCCTTATGTCATAAAAAGCTGAAAAGATGTAGACCAATTTTTTCCCTTTGCAGGCTACTTTTAAGATGGCTTATTCATACTTTTAAAGGAACATACAGAGGTGATGCCCTCACAGGATATTGTGAGGGTCAGTAGATGAAAAGAGTAGTTCCCATGAGTGTGCCATTTTAGAGACCCTTTTCTTAAACCATCCCCTCTCCTGCTGTCTTGTCTCATTCATATGCTCGTTTGTTTGCTGGTTGTTAAAGGGACAGAGCATTTAAAGTATTTTTTTCATCTTCAGAAGTATCACATTAATAATGGGGCAGTGAAACTTGGTGTGTGCAATGTATCTCCCGTCATACATTGTAGGATACTAGTCCCAAAAGCTTTGTAGGAAGTGGAAATAAGCAGAACACAAGAAGTTGATTTGTGCAAATCAAGTTATGGGTCAGGCATATGAAACATTTGATTGAAACAGCAGAAACCTGCAACATGTACTAGCATGTTGGTAATACCGTTGTTATGGAAGGTCTACTCGATGCATTTGTGGAAACTCTGTTTACTCAGTATGCAGCAGAAAAGTAAGAAAAATGGTATGGCCTTAGGGCACCTGATGCATGCTTGACTTTTCTGCATATGCTAGTTAGAGATGTGCACAGAGCTGTCAGACTGCAGGTTTTGGTTTTTAAAATGCAACTGCTAACACTGTCTTCCATGTCTCTTGGATTTACAGAGATTCAAAGCAACATGTCACCTGTTGTGGTTTTCTACCCTCCTTAATATAAAAATCTTTCTTCTATTTAAATCAGGTCTAGCTGTGATGTAAATTGTTCTTGTTCATGCAGTGTTTGTGCTGTATTTTTGCTAAGTAGCTTTTGGGGAGAAGGATGTGAAATATGAGATGGTATTGTGAGGTTATCTCTTCTGTTTTTTAGCTGATTCAGCGGATTCGATTCCAGAGCATAATGAATTCCTTTTCCCAGAATATGAAATTTTGATAGAACCTGAGGAACCAGAATTTCCTGCTGACAGCAGTGTAGATCCTGATGATGAACAAGGAGCTGCAGATACATCAAAGGACCCAAAAGAACAAGAGAAACTCAGAGCTACAGGCAGTGCAGGTAAGAAATAAGATGCTGTCTGTAATTCTTCCTAATGAAGCCTGTCTCACATCTTTAAAATATAAAACACTGTGATTTGAAGTGTTCATTGTAAACTACTGGTGGTAAAAGGCTAAATCCACAGTTATTTGTGATACAAGTTTTTTGTAGCTATCCCATAATATAAGTTGCTTCTAGGGGAGAGACGACTTAACCCCAGCCCCAGGAGCTGTTGAAGCTGCTGTTGCTGCAGTGAAGCTGCAGGTAGTTGCGAGTTACAGTGTCCCTGGGTACTTCCTGAGGGTAAGAAACAGCTGGAGTTTGAAAAACAGAGCCCAGAGCACCTGCTGCTGGACACTGTTGGAATCAGGGGATTGAGTTAAATGGTCTTGGCTTGACTTGGTTCAATTTGTCTTAATTTATGGAAAATACTTTAAAGAATCTCCTTGTCTGTGCTAGAAGAAAGCTCTTTTGAGGCTGTTCTAATTGATCTTGAATTAAGCAGTTGAAGTGCAGGCCCCTTCCCCCCTGCTCCCCCCCAGTTCATGAGGGGTTTGCAGCTCACCACACCAGCTCTGCACATGCCCAGGGTGGAGAGACTGTGGTGTTGCAGGAGAGGACCGTTAGGTTCCCAGCTGTCCCTTACTGTGGTCTGAAGCTGTCTTGAGACTGCTCAATGCCTCTTGTTGATGTGAACGTTGGAGTGTAACACTTGTCAGACCTAGAAGCTGAAGTCTGGCACACACATGGCATGGGTGGCCTTTTCCAGATGTCACGTTCTGAAGGTTCAGCAGTCTCGGTGATACCCACTGGGAGCCATAAACATTGGTAGATGAACTCCTTTCCCTTTCCAGCATTCCAGTATCAACATCTATTTTTAAAATGCAGCTAAGGCTAGTAAATGGATCCATGTGTGACTGAATCTTAATATGTCACAAAACGAAAAAAAAAAAAAGGCTCAGAGTGATTTACGCCAGGAATGATACTTGAGAGCGAAATGCACTTAGAGGTGCAATATTTGTTTTAAGTTTTGGCTGTCTTGCATTAGCCTGTATGTGAGCCGGCACAGGCAGGACACAGAAACAACCACAAACGACAGATGAAATGCAAAACGTAAATTTATTTCCATTACTTTGTGACTCAAGGGATCTCTGCAGCAACACCTGAGCAGAGGCACACAAGTGGGGATGCAGACACTGCAGAGCTCAGTCCTTGATACAAGAAGTGAAAAAGAAAAAGAAGAACCCTGGCCTGCTGCTTTTTCCTGTATAGATCTATGATTTTTGAAGGTGTGTTTTTCCACTGTGCTTTGATCTTTCCCACAGCAGGGCAGGAATCTCAAGGATATTGGATAAGGTGCCTCTGAGTCTCTCACAGGCCTGTTTTATCTAAGTGCAGACATTCTTGCCATCAAGCACACAGGGCTAAGCAACAATCAGTGTATTATAGGTGTTTTTCAGCACTGCAGCTGCAAGTCACTTGAGTGTGTTTACAATCCTCCTCACCAGTCTTCATGATATTCCCACAAATGTTTGCTTTTTTTTTTTTTTGTCTTGTTTAGGTGAAGCATTTCAATCCTTAGATGAAGAGACATTGGAAGCAATGGCAAAACATGAGACTGAAGATGACAGGATCTTCCAAATGTTTAAAGAACGAGTAGCTGCTGAACCAGAGCAGGTCAGAAGATGGGGCAGCCTTAGAACTTGCAGGTTCTGGCACAGCATCCTGCTGTGCCTGCAAAATGTTTCACTGCTTTTTGTACATATGATTAGAAATGGCAACGGGGATGCCTCCTCATCTTCCACACACATTAACCAGCATACTCCAGTGTTTCTTATGTGCAGAACTTGATTTATGCTGAAGTAAGAAGTTAGCACCTGCTCATCTATCTCAAGCAGAAATGAAGTCAGGATGAGAAGGCACAGGGGTGCTGAAGCCGACATAGTGAGGGGAGGACCTGCCATCCTGTGAAGTAGTTCTGACCAAGGGAGGTGATGAACCATTGCACTCTTCCCCAGGCCTTGGCCCTGTCAGCTTTCCTTCTGAGCAGAACCCTAACTGCAGAGAGGAGCTCTGTCACTGTCAGCAGTTGCACAGGGGGGTTGATTTGCCTTTTTTTAAGGTTGAAGAAATTAGTGATGGCTTTAAAATTTCAACTATTTAAAAGAGAAATTTCCTCCCATGCTATTTATTGCTAACACAAGAGGCTGAAAAAAGCCACATCAAACAAAAACATGGTTCCTGGTTCCATTCAGAGGAAATGCAGGCCTTAAATCCATGCAAGCAGTGGAGGAAGAAGTAATGCTTTCCATGTTTTGCCTGGTAGCTGAGGGGTTAAGCTGAACTCCCAGAAAGTAGAGACTTTGAGTCTGTTCCCTTCTCTCCTTGGGGTAGATGCATCACTTCCCTCTCTGACCACCCCCATACTGACTGACCTGCCTTAGAGTGCTCTTGTTGATAATGCCTGATTTGCTATATAAATATTTAGATAGTAACAGCATAACGAAGGATATGAATGTCTGAAAACACTTCCTTCTTGGATGGTAGGACAGGCCCCTTCCATTTAGATGCAGAACTGCAATAGAAAGAGCATTCCTGATTTTCTGTATGCTTCCCTGTGCTAATTAGCAGTCTGCTCTTCCTCTATCTCAAGACTACAAAATACATGACATAGCATTTCTGGGTCCTTTAATTAGAGAACTACAAATCATTGCAGTTTATCCCTGGATCATTAAAAAAAAGTTTTATGAATACCTGCATGATTCAAATAGTTAACAAAATTTATATAAAGAACCTGTCTTAGATACTGTATTTGCAACTGATAGACTTTGCCGTGGGTATTACTTAAAGGAACTGACCTTTTTCTGCACTATCTTACACTTTTGTCATACCAAGATGAAAAGAAAGTCTTGAGAACTTAAACTTCTGCTGTATTTCAGATTATTAGATACTGCAGAGGAGGAGAAGGCCCAATCTGGGTATCGGGTGAAAATATTCCTGAAGAAAAAGATATCCCAAATTGTTTATGTGGTGCCAGAAGGGTTTTTGAATTCCAGGTATGTAAATGCATTTAAAAATAATACAAGGTAATGTAGATCAGACTTAACAGAATCTAATTGTATAGGTGTTGGCTTGTAATTAGAGCAAGAAGTTGCTCAGATTAACTATGCTAAATTGTACAGAGCCCTTACTGTTATAAATGCTTTTTCCCATAAGACTTTCACATATAGAAGGTAGGTTCCCATCTGATAATTTGCACTATGCATAAAATGGTGCATTTGTGGATATGGAATCATCTCTTTAAGTAATAGGAGTCTGGTACTGTATATTTTTTTTAAAAGCCTCCATGATGTGAAGTGGAAATACATCTGACTGGTAGTATTCAGCTGTGGAATTTTGAATGCTAGAAGCATCTATGTATGCTTAATACACTTAATGTCATGCAAAAGCAAAACAGTTTTGAAGGTCATTTCAAATTGAAGTAGGCTTACAAGTCAGGCAACACTTAGTCAAATAAAACTTATGTAGGTAAAATAAGTGGGGCTGTCTACTACACTGCTTTGGGAATCCCAGATTTGTTTTATTTGAGCTGGCGTGTTACTTAGCTTTGATTTGGGCTTTCGATGCAAGAGAACATAAATGAGGGCAGGACCCTTCATCAGGGAGAGGGTAGAGAGCTGTGACCTGACTCTAAACCCTTGTTTTTCCTTGAAGATTATGCCACAGCTTCTGAACCACCTTCAGGTTGACAGCCTTGGAGAGAGCATTGACTGGGGGACACTGGTAGTGTACACTTGTGCTGACAACTGCGGTGAGGGAAATGAATACCTGGAAGAGTTCATATGGAAACAAGACTTCTCTGCAGGATCTGTTTAACTTCCATCAAGTTACTGAGTTGTCTAAATAGAATACTTGCCTTGTTTAGTGCATCTCTGCACTTTGCAAACATAATTGAACTGAAGTCACTGCTACTAAAAGTAGACCTTGACAGCCTCTCTTGTGCTCCACAGGAGCTTTTACTTCAAGCTGGTAATGAAGCCAGATGCATTTGTTCAGTGAATTTCACTTCAAATCTCAATTCTGAATGTTTAAATAAAGATGAAATATTTTTTGATTGGTCAAAGTATCTTTTGTTGGTGACTGAACTTCAAGAACTTAGCTTATTACCTGTCATGATTTTCTTTGTGCTACTCAAAAATTAACAATCATTCACAGAGAAAAGCAGACTGTTGTAAGGTCACTTGAGTGCTTATGCTCAGGAGGTGTACAGATGTCATACCTAAGACAAAGCGGCGGAGCCTTTCACTGTGGAATTTAAATCTGCTTCTCACTTGGCAGCTGTTACACTCATTCAAGATAGAATGCACAAAAAATGTTTTAACTGAATTAAACTATTTCTGCATGGGACTGTTTGGTCTAGAAGCAGTTTAAACAAATCCAGCCATACCAGCACACATTTGTATTGTTACTTAGCTGAATTGTACCTTAAGTCTGCCATCTTTGGTGAAGTTTAAATGTAAGTGCCCTCTGCAGGGATTCTTCTGCTGTTTCAGTGCCATATAGCTGAGGCAAGAGAAAAGGGAAACCATAATGCTAAAATTTGTTGTGGTAGTTGCTTAACTACTCCTGTGGCTGTAGCTATGTTTGCAGAAAAGAAAGGCACTTTTGTGTGTGTATTTGTGTCTCAGTATAGAACTTACTCAGTGCCTTACTCCCTCAAACTATTCATGTCTACTTACTGGTGATTGTGAAGGTGATTTTATGAAAGCCCTAGGCCCACTGTTGCAGTTCTTTTGTATTAATTTAGGTTGGGAATGAATAAGCAGGCAGGAAATGCTTTATGTAGAAACTGTTTCATCAGAACTTAATTTCTAAAAGGGTCATTTTAAGCCTTGGTACATGTTCTGGAACAGCAAACAGTCTCTTAAAGTCACTATAGTACAGCTTGACTGATTTTTATTGAAAATCATTCCACAGTTACTTAAGGCTCCAAGTTCTCCTGCCAACTTAAGAGTTTTGCAGCTAAGTTGGTAATAGTTCAGGCTCCTGCAAAAGCACAGTCATACGGTTGTGTTCAAGAGCACTTGGGAACGCTCACTAGCTCACAGCACAGAGTGGCACGGCCCTGAAGGCACTGTGTTTGGGTTTCTTGAACAGATCCTGGCAAAGCTGCGTTGTTTAACAGCAGCTTTCTGCTAAGATCTATGAAACCAATTATTAAAAGGCCTGGAGGAACACCAGCATAGGCCACTGTGGAGGGAGTAGAGTCAATAAGGAACGGTCACTCAGCATTTGCAAAGGGGGCAGTAGCAATGCCAGCCAAAACTAAACTTCATTTTGTCTGCAATGACAAATAATGAGACCATGGTTACAGTTGGGTTAGTTTTAGATAAAAGCTGTTTGAAAGAATGTGCAAGTCATAGAAAGGAGGTTACTATTACTGGAAATTTACTGGAGAAAAAAAGTTTATTTTTAGTTCTCAGCCCATTAAGCTTCAAGCACAGTTCAGAGGGAAGATTATGTACATACTGACTCCAGTCGGAAGGACCTTGACACTTTACAGGAACACTAATATAGTGAGACTGTCATAGTTGGTAAAATACAAAAGTAGTAATTTGAAGAAATTCTAGAAGCTAAGCAGGGATCTTTTGTTCCAATTCAGCCCAGTGTAGCTATTTAAGACTTGCATAAATCCCATCTGTTGGACATAAAGCAACACACACTTCAACACAAACTTCTTTAACCAGTCACCTTTTTCGCTTTAACATAATAGTCAAGCTAGATGTTGCCAAGGATGTGACTGCTGGTAAGCAAGTCAGAGCATTGTTAAAATTTCTCTCAAAATGACAAGTCACAGTAGTGCATGTGCTATTGAAAAATCGAGATTAAATAAAAAAAAATAATTTTCAATGTATTTCACTCTACCAGCTGGGTAATTTTAAAATTCATTAAGACAATTCCCATAATAGTACAAAGAGGGTTTATTGTACATGTGGAGCTGAAAGAGGAAAGAGAAGGAAGGTATATATTATATATATGTACAGCGAGCCATTTTCATTAATAAATTTATTCTGTCTTGCTTAATACTGGAAAGAGGGAATGTGTCTGGCACCAAAGAAATTTAAAATTGAAAAAATTTAAAAGCTTAAGTTCTGAAAATTATAAAAACTATGGTCATATGGAAGGAAGTTAAAACATATATACATGGCAATTTAAGTGGTTTATACACTGAGTGACACAGTTACATTTGTTTTTTAAACCAACTTACGGATTTTCTATTAATAGAACTGGCATTAAAACTATTCAAAAGCTAGAATATAAATAAAACTTGGGAGGGACTGCTCCAGGAACAGCCCAGTAAAGCAACTCACAGTAACTCAGTAGACATAATCAAGAATACAGCTCCCCTCGAGCATCAGGGAAGTAGGCACTAACTGGGAAATAGTCCAAGTCCTGGTGTTGCAGCTTCACTGGAAGTCCATCTCTTGTTACTGCTGTGCCATACGCAATACCTTTTAAAATATACCCCTGATTTCTCCAAAAGATATAGAAACTGTTACGTTGTCTTCCTGAATCCCTTTAAAATGGGGTAGATGTTTTCAAATGCTTCATAGATTTCTGCTCGTACTTTAGCACCTAGAAAAAGAGAGAATAAAGTTAGTTTGTACCTTTCACCACATACTTAATTTTAGCTTTTAGAATGTTTATTAGAATGCAACTCTACATAAAAACCTATGCATATCCATAAACCCCTGTTTTTATGTATCCATAAATCCCCTTTTTTTCCTCCAATACACATTTCATACAGAGAACACATTACCAGTCTTCTCACTGTTTATTCTGATAACTGGTAAAACTTTCCTTAGCATCTTCATGCTTACACTATACTTGCAAATGGCATTTTCCTAGACATAATTTCCACAGGAGACCCAACTCCAAACTGCAGCCCCATAGGATGTGTCTGCAGAAAGGCCTAACTGGTGGAGCTTTTTTTTGAGTGTGACCCTCATGGGGAGCAAGCTCTGGCAGCAGAGGCCTGCCACTTGCCATGCTGCAGGGACATGCTCCTGCTCCTCCTCTTGTCTGCAAGACTCCTGGGTTTTTTTCTCCACAGCAAGACTCAGCACAAAGGGCAAAAGGAAGGGTGCCTGAGGCTGAGGAGGTCCATGACGGGTATCTCCCCTTCTTTGGCTGCTGTATCAAAGGAGAAAGGCAGCAGCCTCCAGGCAAGCTGTCAAAGAACAGTTAGCTCAGTTAGACACACCCAGCACACACAGACTCACTCAGATTTTGCCAGAAACGTTACCTGCATTCTTAGAGCTTTTTGGGCACCTGTGTACTTAACTAGGATTCATGATCATTGCTTATGTAGATTTAGCCAAATGAGAATGCACAAAGCAAACCTCACATCACAGAATATTGTACTACCTGTTCTTTGTCAGTACTGTCACCTCTAAAGAAAGTATGTAGCAGCTTTCATACCTCTGGTCTCATTGCATGTTCTCTGTAATGCAGCCTAAATCCAACCTATGGGAGTGAGATACTGTTTTCACTTACCAGTTAAAACCACTTTTCCAGAAACAAAAATAAGCAGAACAATGCGTGGCTTGATCATTCTGTAGATTAAGCCAGGAAACAATTCAGGCTCGTAGCTGTAAGAGAGGGGAGTGAGTGTTTATATATGTGCTTGCAGACACATGTTCTAGTTTTTCACCAGCAGGACTGCAAGAAGGGGCAGAGCAGATGCAGATTTCACTGAAACTTGAGAAAGTAGCAGGGAAGATCATTCTGATGGGTTCCTACTGTTAAACCTGAGGCAGAGCAGCAATGGGAACAAAGATGCAGGTTTCCTTCTGATGCAAGGGAATAATCTCATGAGACAGCACTCTCTAAGCTAGCAAGAATGAAATATAAGCAAGCCTTTTTTTTTTTTTTTTACCTGCTGAACTGCTGGTGTGTGAGTACCAATCCTTCTAATCTGATGGGAAATTTCACATCACAGCTGCCCACCATGTTCTGAATTTTAAAATCCAAAAATTTTGCAGGAAAACCCAGTTTCTGAACAACTCTTGCATACTTCCTTGCTGCCAATCTGGATTGCTCCTCACTGAAGTGAGAAAAGGATACCCATATTATTTCCTAAGTTAAATATTACTTCAAGCAAATAGCATTAAACCACAAATATGTAACTAGGAAAAAAAAAAGTGTGTTGTGGGAGAGGGGAAGGTCACATGCAAAATTCTTACATTCAAAATTGACAACTAAGCACTGGTTTGCATGCTAATTTTGGTACTAGGATCTTTAACACCATTAATGGTGTACTCACTGTTCACGAGGCAGAAAACAGTAAATTATAAATCCACATATTTCACACTCTTAAAAATATCAACTCGAGACCCTCTAATAAGACATGAAAACTGTTACTTAAGTTTTCAGTACAGAACAACTCTGAACTACTACTGCTAGAAAGTGCATCCTTCTATAAAATATCTGTAAACTGCCCAAATCTTCTGCTCGATTCAACCCAGGCATTCAAACCTGGCTTTAACACAACTGCACAGCCTTATGCACTGCTGCAGAACTCTGTTTGCTTCAGTTTTGTAAACAGTTGAGGATCTGGTTGTTCTTAATGCAGCATAAGACAACTTGAACTTCAAGCATCACCAGGCAGAGAAAGTGTTTCCTGTACAGCTCTACTCATTCATCTCTGCTCATTAGCTTGTTCCTTCTGGATTCCTAACAGACTTCTTCAGAGCAGAGTTTCTCTCCTGCCTACTGGAGTTAAGGTTATGTTTAGTTTTCAATTCTCATGCTTCAATGAACATGTTAAGAACAGATCAGACTACAGGGACCAGAGATGTGGAGCTCCTGGCCTGTGATGAATGAAACTACTCAAATATAAAATCACTCTTCCTCTGTCACCGCCCCTACCATTTAAGTAGTTCCAGTGCAAAGTCACTGAAATTTTTAAATTATTAGAAAAAAAGATAATTGCAAAGCCAAAAAGTGAATATAACAGCCTCCACAAACAAGTTTATCCTGACTGTATGAAAGCTTCAGAAACAAAACTACCATTTCCCCTTTCATAGGGAAGTACTTTCAGTCATGAGGACATTTTCTGTAGAAACGTATATTAGTCTATTTGAAATAACTGGGAAGCAAGCTTAGTTGTACAACTTTGTTGTATATATACAAATACCATATACAAATAATAGTATTTCTAAAGCATGATGGTACAAAAGACGACTGCCTGAATTAGTTTGCTAAACATACCTTTTTGCTCCTGTGCACACCATTTTTCCAGAGCTGAATATAAGTGCAGTAGTACGTGGTTCTCTTATTCTCATAATAACAGCAGCAAAACGCTGAAATGTGAGCATTGAGACTGTTAGTGATATATTGCTGTAATCATTACATTAAAACCAAACTTGCATAATCTAAGTATCAAGTTACACTGTATTGCAAAGAAATACAAAGTTCAAATATAGATCACTCAAAATTTCCTTGAAATGCTTAAATCGTAAGTATATTCAAACACACACACTGAAAGGTAAAGTCACACAGGAAGCATATTTACCATTGCATTCCTAATTTACTAAGCTCATCTCTCATTACTGTATATACAACATTTAAGTAATGCTAACATTTGCAGCTGAGCAGTAGAGAAAAATCTTAAAAATAAATTAAAAATAACTGCCTCAACACATCTTGAAATTTTATCTGTTATAGGCAGGATGGAAGACTACCTGCAAATATTTTAGAATCTGTCTTGTTTCCATGTCTTAAAAAATTGTACAGCATTAGAATACCAACAAACAGAACAGCTGGAGATCAATGTTCTGTGTAAACAGAAGTCACCTCCACTACCACAGCAGAACACAGCAGCCTGGACAGTGCCAGCTTTTATATTCTAAGTACTGTAACATCTCTGCCTCATATCCAAATATTCTTAAACTCTTTGAAACAAGAGATACTGGAAACTGATGTGGGCATATACACACACAAACCCCTGTTTACCTGTTATGTTTAACTTGGATCAGCTCACCACACAGTCCTGTAAAGTATTCTGCTGACATAACCAAGGTGGTAGCATGGATTACCTAACAGCACTTTTGTCAAAATATGGCTTGAATAATACAGCCAAGCAACTTCTTCCTTTGATAGATGAATGTACTGACTAAAAGTCAGGAGTGTGTTACATAACCCTTCTTTCTCTCTGCTGTGGAAACAGCATTTCGTATTGATTATTCTAGCTGCAAGTTTTACACAGCCACCTACCCCCACCTTAAAAATTACCACGGCATGCTCAAATTTTTGCTGCACTAATATCTTACATGCAGTTAGTTATGTAACAGCATCACTGATAAAAACTTACAGTAACAGAGTTATTTATCACATATGCGTGCTTTAATCTTTGAGAGCAGAGTTCAGGTAAACCACAGCAAAATACCAAATACTAAAAAAACCCCCAGAACGCTCCCCAGGAGAACTGAAGCCTTCCCAAGGCAAGTCAATTCAACTACACAACATCTAAACTTTTATTATGAAGGCTGTCCAACTACTGTGGTTGCAAAGGTAACATTTCCAAGAGAGCCACCCGAAAGAGAAATGAAGTGACATGAATTTGATTCAACGCTCCAGGTCCTATTCTGTTGTTCGAAGTTTCTCTGAGCTATAAGAACACCAGAGTTTAACAGACTGCTATTTAAAAGCATCAGGCAACTTAGAAGTCAGCATGCAAAAAAATCAATTTAATTTTGCTGTTCCACCAAACCTAACCATCAGGAGCAAGGAACAGAGCTCAGAGGGGAGGCAGGATGGTAAAAACTAAGTGACTGCGCTGTGACCCCAAGAATTCCAGGGGACCAGCCAGGTGAAGGAAGCTACAACGTATACAGAACAACTGTCACTCTGGCAGGAGCCCAGGAGTTGAATTCTTCCTTCCTTTCACCTTGCTGGGAGACAGGAAACAAGTCTTAATCATCACAGATTTCACAGTAATATGAAAAAGGAACTTTCTGAGCCCTGTGAGCAAACATGCCCATATGAATAGTAGCAGAGACCAGCTCTACAATAAACAGTTTGGCCAGTGTATGACACTGTTGGTTAGGTTCCTCCTAAATGTGCCATATTCTTTCTAAATCTACCAAATTACAACCTCACGCAAAACATGGCTAAATCAGCATAAAAATGCTTTTTATTAATTTGACAGAATGTTCTGAGTTTAGTTAAAAAAGAAATCTTTAATAAGTACAAAACAGCATCTATAGCAGGAAGGTTTTCCAATCTATCACAGCAAATACACCCACAACCTTGTGCCTTTGACATATCTGTTATAAGATGAACTCTAACACATTTCTCTTACCTTGGGATTATATTCAGCATTTCGGGCACGGAGCGCAATAGTTTTCAGGTCAAGTTTGCAACCAAGATTCACCGTGGACACGATATTCCTGAAGACAGTTCAGAGAAATACATTAAAAAGACAATAAATAACTCCTGTGTCTTCCTCATTTTTAACCAAGCTTTACTTTTTTTTTTTTCATTTGTTTCTCCAAGTGAGTTTGAGTGACATCTTTCCTACCGACAGGAGCACTGAACAGTGATTTGGCTCAGGAACCTCCTTTTGTGGGACAGTAGCTCCTAAGGCATGATTGTGATTCCTCCTTATCTGCCAGCTATTATGAAAAGCGTCTCATGAGAAGAATCTCTATTTCAGTCTGGCAGGAAAAATTCTTGATGCTGAGAGCCCCCACCACAATCAGAGAAGCTGCTGGAAACAGGAGAAAATGAAGCAGAAATAGTACCATCTGAAATTTTCCTTGGTATGGCCTTCAAGGAGGAAGAAGAGGCACAGGACTAAGTGGGAATGATCTGGGAGGTAAACCCATTGCCAGGCGAAAGGATAGCTGGTCTCTAGAAAATTTAAGAGAAGTTCCTAGGTGCAAAATTTCCTTGGAAACTTGTTTTCCGAGAAGCCCCTGAAATCTCAAAGATCCTCAGTGGAAAAAAAGAAATTCAGGGGATTGCTCTTTCAGTGCTAAAGTCACATTATCAACCATTTCTCTTCAGGCTGTCTGTAAATTGCTGTAAAAGTCTCTTTAAAACTCAAGTTCAGTGAAGATACTTTCATACCTAAACCTTCAATTAGTTCTAGGTTTTCTTCCCTTAAACTCAGCTGTAGCCAGGAACTAGAAAATGGAACATGGAATATTAAGTACAACTCAGCTCTAGCTCCTAGACTAGCAACTCGTTTCTTCCCCTCTGCCCTTCTAATCACCGTCCAGCTGTGAAAGTCCCTGTATTCTTCTTTAGTGTCTCACTAACAAAGTTCTATGCACAGTAAAGTGGATTTATTTGCTTTTTTGTGAACAGGTCACAAATATCCAGTAAATTACAAAGGAGAGCATGTTTCTAGGTATATATACTTAGAAGTACAGATTATCAACCCAGATTACTTTATAGCTAAAGCACGATGAACTCCCAAAGTACATAGATTTAAAGGTTACAGTTGTGCTAAATGAAGACATATGTAACATCCTCCACTGGTATGCTTGAAATACGTATGGCTGACAAATCGCTAAGAAACTGTTTATATTACTAAGTGGTTTAGTAACGAAACCAAGCTAAAAATAAAAGCAAAAATTACTCATATTGCTAGAGGAGACCCATAAATCCTCAGGACCTCCCTTCCCACCAAAATGCACTGCTCAGATCCTGATGTGGCTTTCATCCTAGGTCTTTAAATTAAGCTCCATCTGAGAAAGTGCATGCTGCACTAACACAGGGGACACTCACTGTAGCTGTGGCACTATCCCAGAGCTCTCGGATGCCGGTGTTGCAGGAGTTATTGGAGTCATCGGAGTCATTGGAGAGGGGTACAGAGGTGTGGTTCCCGGTAAAGGGGCTGTGGTAAGAGTCTGTGAGTGAAAGAGCTGGGGAGTTTGACCAGACGTTCCCTGTGTCGCTTGCTGTGATGTAGACTGCTGTGCTGCTTGTTGCTGCTGCTGCTGCCGCTGCTGTTCCTCTAGGATGGACAGACTATTGGTGCTCTGGACAGGCTGTGGTGTCAGTCCTGTGCCATATGGCATCATCGGGCTAAAAATTGGAATTCCTGGAGTCATTGCACCCTGCAGAAGAAAGCATGAAACAGAAACCACAGATCCTGTTGACTCCATTTTGGTTTTAAGAGAAAAAGTTTTCAAGAGGAATCTAAAAATATATCAGCGTGATTGTACCAAACCTGAGGCATATAGTAGTAACTCACTAAAACCAGAAAACCCTTGGAAATGTAGTTCTTCTACAGAATAAAATATTACCTCTAGGGATCTGTCCACTCCAGCATGGTTCACCTCCAGCCAGGGATGCTGACAGACTTCTCACTCACAAGCATGTCTCAACTCTGACCCATAATTTAACTTGCAATTGTTTCAACAGACTGTGTCCATCGTACCAGATGCATTCATAACACAGTGACAGTTCATTAGGTATGACAAAGGGCAACCACCAAAATTAAATTAGTATTTCCAACTTGTCAGTCATGTTTCAGCTTAAAGGAACCCCATAGATCTTCATATTTCTTATACGTTTAGATATACAAAATGACAGTTTTAAAATTCTGCTTTATACTAGTATTAAAAA